CAAAACCCCAAAACCCCAAAACCCCAAAACCCCAAAACCCCAAAACCCCATGCATAAAATTTTAGAATGATCTGGTATTAGAAAATATATATTGATTTAATGGGGAAAAACAAAGGCGGAGGTAAAAATTAAAAGGAGGAAGAAAAAAAGGTAGCAAGCGGGGCAGAGCTAAAGTAAGATGATAAGAAGAAAAAGAAAGCTGGAGGCTGGAAGGCTTAACTTGAAGAAGAGGAACGATAAGCTAAAGCAGAGTAGGAAAGATTGCTTGCAATAAAAAATAAAATAAAATTTGTGAGAGCACGACATATATTACATTAAGATCAAAATGTTCTCATAGATGTGCATAGTAAGCTTTTAGCAGAATATGGTGATTCACCACCTAGTGAGGTATTTGCTAAATTTGCAGAAGAAATGTCTGAGTGCCCTTCAAGTGCTAAAGGTGGATTGCTAGGATATTTTGGTAAAGGCTAAATGGAGTAAGAATATATAGAATATTAATTAAATATTTAGTCAGACATTTGAAGAAATTGCTTTTAAGACTCCTGTTGGAAGAATGAGTGGAGTTCTTTAATCAGCGTAAATTTATATAATTTTAATTCAATTAGAAATGGATTTCATATATTGTTTGTAGAAGAGACAAAATGAGATGAAGATTTGCTAATTGAATAATAGTTTAGGTTACACTTAGGAAAAAGAGATTTTTAATTTCATCAATGACTTATTGTATCAAATTTGAAGAGTCTGAAATTATATTATTAAGTTAATAATTTAAGTAATAATTTATAGTCGAATTTTAATGACAGAAAGACCGAAAAGTTCCAACTCTCGCTAAAAATTTAATCATATAGAGTGAGAAAGTGATGAGAGTCCTATGCAGTAAAATAAAAAGTTACAATAAAACAAAAAAGAATCTATTCAAAGTCGAAGCCCTGAATTTGAGTAAAAAGGACTTAAAAAAGTAAGTTGCTTTGCTTATTTATTGAGATTCACAAAATTTTACATTTATTTGTTTTAACTTTGAGTCATTTAACTTTATAGTTGGGTCCAGGATACATTACTTCTATCTAAGATGGTTCGATATCAAGTAACATTCCACCTTATTCAATTAACAAAGGAGAGATACCGTCTGGCTCGGAGTCAGTTAAAGATGACTATACAATGGAATCAATTTTATTTGATTATGAATCCTTAAGGCAATAAGAGAATTTTTACATAAAGAAATACAATAAAGGTTCAACTTACAAAGGATAATTAGAAAATGGGAAAAGGCATGGTTTAGGTGTAATGATATATCACGATAATGTGAGAGTCTATGAGGGTATGTGGCTTGATGATTAGAGAAGTGGTAAGGGTTATGAAAGATATCAAAAAGGAAATATTTATGAAGGGGATTTCAAGGATAATAAAGCAAATGGCAGAGGAATTTATAAATGGAAAAAAGGAGAAATATATGATGGTGAATGGGTTAATGGTAAGAAGGAAGGACATGGTGTATGGAGAGGAGTTCATGGAGACTGTTATATAGGAGAATGGAAAATGAGCAAAGCTTGGGGATATGGAGTTCATGTTTGGAAAAATGGAGACAAATATGAAGGTGAATGGTATGACTGCCTTAAGCATGGTCAAGGTACAGATTTATTTGGAAATGGAGATACATATTAGGGTTAATATAAATTTGGCAAACCTGATGGATTCGGATAATATAAATGGAGCAATGGATCATTTTATATCGGAGAGTTCAAAAACGGTTTAAAACATGGAAAGGGTAAATGGAAGAAGAATAATTTACCCAACTGTAATTAATATGAAGGAGAATACTCAATGGATAAGAAACATGGATATGGTGTATTTAGTTGGGAGAGCGGAAATGTCTATAAAGGCAATTATAAAGAAGATATAAGAGAAGGCTATGGTGAAATGTATTGGACTGACGGTTAGATCTACAAGGGAGAATGGTTTGAGGGTCTTCAACATGGACATGGCTGTTTAATGCTTCCAGATGGAAGGAAAAAAGAGGGTCCATTTGAAAGAGGTATATTTATGGGCAAGGAGCAAGAACCTCCAAAAGTAGAGTAAGTTGAATCAGACAAAGATCCATTTGAGGAAACTTAATAGATGCATGATGAATTAAAACTCCCAATGATTGCGAATCAATCTTTAATAAACGATCCAATTGATGACTCTTAATTGAGAATTCACCACCATCATATTAACTCCAAAAGGCCTAATTTATTATCAAAGAGTGTAGCTGGGATCACTGAAATATCTAACTCCAATAGATAGCATGAGCGATATCATTCAGTAAATCAAAGTCTTCCAGATATTTAAATTACTAATAGGCAGTAGAGTGAGAGTAGCAGAGGAAATTACCCAACTCAAGATACTATGCTAAATAATCATCATAACATACGTAGAGCTAATCAGGAGGCACTTAATTTACTACTTAGGAAAGCAAGAAATAAAAAGAAAGCAATGTGGTTGCCAAATGGCAACCAGAAGCAAAGCAAACAATTTCATATAAATGTAAAGCCTAAAAGTAATTTCAGTGTCCTTTCTAGTAAGTCAGACTTATATATGCTTTGAAAGAATTGAGTGCACCTATTATACATAAATATAAACATAATCCCATGTAAATAAATATTGAGTCTTAAAGTGATGTTATATTATATTCAGTTATTTAAATTTAATAAAAGTAAACTACAACTATTTAAATTCACAAATATGGGGTTTTGGGGTTTTGGGGTTTTGGGG